ACTTACAAACTTAGTTTCAGTGATGTCATATTGTTCTTTAATTTAGCCGGAATAGCAAGCTGCTTTCGATCATCTGTACACGTGCCATTTAATTTGTGTATTACACAAATCTTTCCACGAAACAGACAGTTTTAAGTGCAAAAGGTGCGAAAATGCAGAATCACTCCAGCATCCCCTTAAAGGTATGAATTTACATACGTCAGTAAATTTGTTTCTCGTGGACAAAATTATTACCTTATATAATAAGTAAGCAGTTTGCTTTTAACTTTGTATTTCTCCATCAAATATAAACGATTATTTACACAGCAAAAAGAAAAACTAATTGTTGTATAAGATTATATATTTCCATTAATAGTGTAATTGTTATACTCATTATTTATGTAACTTTCTTTTACAATGTACAAACATCGATCAAAGAGCAAAGTACGCATAAAAATAAATTCAGCAAGATAGTAAAAGTCGATTACGGACGATTACATTTACGTCTCAACATTTCAGATTAACTGTGAAGAGAGCAGATAATATTTCATTTTATTCCTCTGTATTCTAAAAGTTTTCTTTCAGAATTGTACTTTTAGTTCGCTCGCACGACTCAAAAATGGATACAGCACTATTTTTATTAAATACACAGACTGCAAATTAATCAAAGAACGAATCAGCGAACGAATTTCGGGATATTTTTCGGGCGTCCGTAAATATTTGCAAAAGACCGGTCGAATAACGAGACGTTACGACTTCCTTTTTTGTCGGTTAATTCGGAATGTTAATGTCGCGTGATGATACAAACCTCCAACGAGTTGTAAACGCGATCCCGATAACTAGCAAATATTTGCGCACGTGTATGCTTTATGAAATTGTAAGCGCAAGCATACAGTTTATCTCTAAACATAGAGCCCGACATCGTCACAATTTTAAGTGGGGCTTTGGCGACCGGGCCGAGATCTTCGTCGGTTTTCTTTTGCAACCCGCGTGCACACTTACTTATTTACACACCCCGGCTATATAATTCGGCAATAACTTCTTCCCGGGGAGTTGATGGAAAAAGAATATTTCTTTTATGTCGGAGAACGAATTTTTAAATAACGCGGTACCGCATGCCCGACGATTTTAATTGAGGACGTTGAACTAGACCAAATCGAACACGTGCTTTGCTCCTGACCGCGATGCTGATTGCAATTTTCATCTGAGATTCTCTCTTCGATCCCACATTTTTTTTTTCATTTCGAGTATAGTCGAATTTTTTGTTCGATCGTCAGAGAACTCGTGGATCTTGCGGAGCGTAAATTAAGGAAAATTGATTTCACAATTTCGATGTGGCCCTTTCACTGTCTCTATGCCCAATCGTGTCTCTCTTGATATTCGCGTTTATACGTACTTCTTACTTAACCAAGACTAATTCGTTTACCCATTTCTGTAGTTAATATTATCAATTTCACAAATTAATAAAATTCAGAAGGCTCTCGTGTGATAAAGACTAAAGAGCCGTGACAGGATGTCAGTGTCTGAATTCTTATTTTTAATTTATTGCGAAAAATATGACCTCAGCCAGGGTTTAAATCTGGACCTCTCTCTCACTAGGCGGGCGTCTCAATAATCAATTTCATTATCGCAGCTGATGACGATGAGTCAGTAAAGCTCAAAACGTTCCGCAAGCTATTATACACCAATAAATCAAATTACATTGTTTAAATCTACATTTCTACTTATTGCCTCGTGGTTTCCATTTTATATTAAATTAAGGAATTGCCAGATTGCACTTTTCTCTTTTCTTCCGTTACTAAACGCTCGGATCTCTCGACTATCTTTGCCTTGGTAAATCTTGGGATTTGTAAATTATTCAATTCTTCTTGAGTCGCTCGACTGTCGAGCAGAGAGAAGTATGACAGTGATGAACATAAGCGACAGGTATCGATCGAGGCCATGCGATTCGAATCGATCTGACCCGCAGTTTTTCTCTCTCCCCTTCCCCTTCCCATTCCTATCTGCCGCCGCTGAAAGCGATCCCTTATGCAATCGATCTGGCTCGTTAAGCTCTCAAGGTCTCGAGTGTCTGTGTTCGACGTACGTTTGATGCGCGGTCAACGTAAGGAGATGAGAAAAAGATCAGATCCCACGTTGGAAGGCTAAACGCACCGAGCCTAAATTAATCCGACTTAATAAGCTGAACAATCAATTACTATTCTTCCTCGGAAAAACTAATATCAATCATGCTAAATTAATAACATAATTGTTAGCGATGCTCCACGTAACGATAGTGCATTACGCATGTTTTTTTTCTTTAGAAAAAAATTGTAAGAAATTTTTAAATCTCGGTCGCTATTTAACCATACAAATTTTCCATAGTAATAAACAGGGGTGTTTATCTTCGGGGAGGTAGGCACTTAGTAATTAGGACTAGACCAAGATTCGAACCTGGGACCTTGCCGGGCGAATGCTCTTCTCGCGAGCTATCCAGGCTCACAAAATATTGCATATAAATAGCACGAATGATGAGAATTGAGGGAGAACGTGCCGTACGTTTGAGCAGCCGCTTTTGTAATCGCCGAACCGCGTCTCTCCAGTTCTCCACCGAGTTAAATAAAAACCGTTTCCAGCTGAGCGGTTCTTGACTCGAGCCGCGAAACAAAACGCGAAACGAGCCGTCAATCAGCTAAGCGAGGTCGGTCCGCGTAACCGGGTCGAGATCAAAATCGTTGTTGCGACTACGTCGGGTGATGGCGGCAGGCGTTAAAGATGCGAGGTATTATTTTGAGACGTCGTAGCACGTGGTCGACGTCAAGCTTCCGCCACAACATGAGTGCACTTTTCGCGTGCGGTTTTCAGAACAATTGACATCTCAACAACGATTGACTGTACAGATCTCATCTGCGCACAAGATTTGTGTCTTTCGTTTCTTTTCGAAATCACTGAATTGCTCATTTATATGTGATTCGCCATCTCACTCGAGCATTTATTAATATAGACTACTACTTTCGAACTTTTACCTTCAAATCGACATCAAATCAAGGGAGAACACATCTTTTATACGCAAGGTAAGCCAACGGCACATGATACTATTTTTCTCACTGGATTTTTCTCACGCAGAGTTTTAGATCAGGTGACCTAAGGCTAAATCCTGATTGACTCTCGCAAGCAATCCAGTAGGGAAAAATAGTATCGTGCGCCGTTGGCTGTAGTTTAATACACGAAACAATTGGATTAAGTGATTTAATAAGAAACATATAATGCAAAGTTTTTTGCCGCGGAAAGTAAATCTAAACAGACTTTAGTAGGCAGAAATTGGATGAAAGAAAATGTAAAATTGAAAAAGATCAATCTAGTCTTGTGGCAGTCTGCAGTGATGACGAAGCGACAAATTGAAATTCTTTTTAGCGGCAAAAATCTCTTTGCCTATATCTTATAGGTCGTCACAAAGTGTGCTGCCGCTTCTACTTTTAGCGAGGTAATGTCTCTTATCTATGCACATACTTTTGCGTTTTCATTTCTTACACCGTATCGTCAGTATCTACTAGAAAAAAGAAGCATCGCGAAGATTGACACAAAGCGCATTCGAGCTTAAGGTAGTTGTTGCACAAACTCACTTTTCTTATGAAATGCTTACAATTACAATGTACAGAAGAGGTTATTATCTAACTAGTCATACCCCATCGTGAACTCGGTTAACCGTCTCCAAAGGTACAGCATTACAATTTAATGCAATACTTTTTGTACGCATTCCCTGTACCCAACCAGTACACATGCCGGACTTTCAATTTTAGAACATCAAAATAAATCTTATGAGTTATATAAAAAAATTAACAGCAACAGGGGAACATATGGAATAGTCTCTCTAAAATTTTTCTCACTCCAAAAGAGTAAGATTTCACTCGAAGAAATAATGAAAATAATGCCAGTCCGACTGGAGTGCAATTTCACTTTTTGAAAGAGTGCCGTTATTCACTCTTTACTTGGATTGATTCTTCAACTCTAAAAAGAGTGCCATGTTACTTTAATCGATTGTTAACAGTATAAAATTCATGGACGAGAGCTTCGCGATTGTTTGCTCGCTATGATCATCGCATATAGAGGCTGTATTTTAATATCCACAGCTAGCACTGAAAATCTATACTTTATGTGACAGTTTCGCTTTGCTGATTGTCGCGGAAGAACCGTCCCGGGCCGTGACGAGGTCCCTTATATGCCGGACTATCGTGATCTTACTTACGAGTTCGGCGGCCATCTAGTGGCGAAATACCGTACTTTAGGTTCGAATGAATTTTGGGAGTGCTAACGACTTCACTTCAAAAATAAGAGTAAAATTCTTCACTCTTTGTCTTAGAGTGAATTAATTTTTTAAGACAAAAAGTGAATATTCACTCGAATACTGCCGTCCTAACTTAGATAGCAGTACTCCCAAATTGTTAGTTGCGAGAAAACGCGCGTTTAAGTTCTTACAGCTAGGCCGCCACAAAAAAATATGGACATACTGCAACGTGTATAAGTTATTTTATGTTAATCTACTGCTCTTACTGTCTCCTAGCCTTGTAGGACAACGGATACTTCTCTGAGAAACATAGAAAGTGAGTTAACTACAATGGCCAAAAAATGGAGATACTGCTTTTTAGGTTATGACGGCAGAATAGAGTGAAGTGGTCAATGACACCATGACTCAAATGAAAATTTCACAATTCGGACTTTGCATTGCAATACCTCCACGCATGGGGCACGTAGGGGAACGACAAAAACACTTTTATTATGCAAATCGAACCCAAGTTATCGATCGAGCGCACTTAGAAGTTCATCGGAACAGCCGTTGTTGAGATCCGAAAATCTGAGGGCCCGACAACTCGCGTACTCGCGTGAACTACACGGTAGTGTCTTGCGATTCGAGTGAAAATTTCACTCGAAAAACTTTAGAGAGTGGATTCTTGATTTTTGGACATACTGGTTGGATTTTGATATTTACGGATAATTAGCTCTTATAATGCGTCTCTTCAATCCTGTTAATAAAAATAACGTTGTCTTATTAACGTCTTTAATCGAACACACGCATCAAATACGACACGCTTTCCTCTTACAATGTGTAAACTTGTTATAACGGATACGATTCTTCCGGTAACATCGACATTTCGCAACAATCAACGTAGTCTTATAGTTCCTAAGACATGTCTTCCCTCCCCACCTCTTCTGCTTTCAAATGACAGTATCTTATTGGTCTTTTTCACTCGGTATCTCCGAGCTATCGGTGTAAGAATAGACGTACTGATTGTATAATCCTGTGTAACGCTCGAACGATGCGAGGCAATGGCGATGCCGCTCGCGTTACGAGCGGAAGGTCGCAGTTTCACACGTAGCAGATTTCAAAAGCGATCCTCGTAAAGATTCTCGCGGGAAAACCGGTAGGACACGCGCGAGAAGCAGAAAGCAATATCACGTTTCTCAGGCGTGTGCACCAACGCGGGTGTATCTCTTTAAAAATAAGAATGCTTCCCCGCGATCGCCTCAGAAAACCTGAATCCTGGTTCCTTCCTCGCGCATGTAGCTTTGCTCAAGTAAAATCCCCCGTTGCAATTCAAACTGTAACCTGAAAAACGACGGATCACGACGGACCGTCGTGTTGCACGCGTCCGGTTACAACTGAATTCATCACAAGGCGTGTTTTCTATTGCTGCACCAGTGCGGTAAGCTCGAATGACAAAAAATATACTTGTCCTAAGGCCTGCGTCCCCGACGCTGGAACTTGATCCGAGTTCTAGTTTCGAGAAATATGTAGCCAATCAACTTGCAGCAATTCCACAAAAACTACAAGTTAATTGGCCGCACATTTATCGAAACTAGAGCTCGGACCACGTTCTAGCATCGTGGACGCAGGCTTTTTTTTACTCCAATTTATTGCACAAGTTCACCGGTGCGGCAATAGAAAACAGGCCTACGATTAAACGGAATGAAGAAAAAAAAACATTGCGTATACTTTATTCGTTACAGTTTCTTCGAATAATGTTCAGGATAACGTTCGTTCTTACTTGCGGCAACTACTATCGACTGCACGCGGGTCCTCAAACACCGGGTTGCGATCGCGACTGAGCTTGCGCGACACACCACTTTCGCCGGCCACTCTCGCTTTCGTTCGACTGTCACGGGTTGACGACGGGCGATCGCGGCTAAACGCGCGCGCGAGTATCGACGGCACCCGGGACCGAGAGGAGCGACAGCGGCGATATCGCGTACCGCGATGCGCAAGCGTCGGGCCTTTCTGCCTCGACGAGGTGCGAGCTTGAAGGGGAACGCGTTTTCAGGCAGAGCGAACGGACTCGAGGACCGTTTCGATAGGCGGACGTTTTATTTTAATTATCGATCTGCGTGGCGCAAATCAGTTGGCAGCGACAATAGAAGCGCGGATGAGGCGTCGCGAGGCCTCCCTCAAAATGTACACGGACGACTTCCCCTAGCGGAAAAATTTCTATAAATAACTACAAAAAATTGACTTGAAATAGAAATTTGTAGAAATTTTTATATCTTCGTTGAAACATTTTTTTTTGTAAAAATATCTACAAAATAGTATCACAAATTACAATGTTCTCAAATCAAGAAATTATTGCGAGTAATATTTCATGAAAATGTACAATTTTGTAAAAATTAGTACAAAACTTTACTGGTTTAAAAAATTTGTGAAACAATAAAATCTTAAAGAATTAAAACATCTGCTTACTTGTAGAATGTCACAAAAATTAACAAAAGTGTTCCAGTTCTAGCATTTTCATGTTGATTTTCATAACACTTTTTAAATTTACGTAGAATTTCGTAGATTCTGACAGTTATATTTAATTTTTTTGTAGAATTTTGTAGAATTATTTCCGGCAGGGTCGTGGCGAAAGAAAATCGCGAATAGACAAATATGCACGTAGCCATTTAATAGTGTACAAATGTCGTATAAAAAAAAACTTACATTTTAGGGTAACATTTATACTATAATATACATTTACTTTTTTAAACGTAACTGGTGAAGATTTATTTTAGAAAATTAACTTTTTTAGCTTGCAAAATTAACTTTCCGAAATTCAACGTATAGACATTGTTATAGGCTACTGAGATCCAGTAATAAGCATTAATGTTAAACTAATCGTAAGTTGGGTGTAACGGAAAACTGAAGAATCTGAACTATGCTGGCGGTTTTACTCAATTGCTTCAGTTTCACGTACATAATTTAACTAAAGTAATTGTTCTAACTTCCTCGTAAAGTCGATTTTTAGAAAAACATTTAGTTTAATTAAAAAATAACATAACAAACTTGAAATATACTAATTAATAAACACACTCCGTTGTTGCTCGTTAATATTATTGACCTTTCCTTTGACCTGTTGGTACAACTAAACGAGTTATTACTGTGTTAATTTTTCTAGTTTTAATAAACACAAATTAAACGGGGTTACACGGAGCATGTCGCCATTTCAAATTTTCACATACAGAAATTATTAAATGATCGTAAGACCTCGAAAAAAAATATTAACGATAACTTTTCAGTATTATTTGTACAAGACAGATTCACGTTAATTGCGCAGGTTGTTCTCATCTGCGATAAAAATTCATTGTGCTATTTCACATAATCGGGAACGACTGGCTCTGTACATGAAACACACAATACGTTACGACACATACACGATTGAGACCTACGGAGCCCGCGAGGTTTTCTGCTTCCAGCGACAGAAGCTGACTGGAGATGCGCGCGTTCACCGATGAAATTGAGAGTGTGGAAGACGAGAAATAAGAAGGAGGGGATGGAAAAGTGGTGGCGCGAGGCTGGGGCAAAACATCCTTACGAGAAAATAGCAAGGACCTAAGGGAATGGTTCGGGGATAACGTCGAAATCTGCCAACCACCTTTCAGTCGCCGGTGGGAACAGCCGCCGCCCCGAGACAGCGGAGGGAGGAAAAGGGGTTGTTTTATATCACAAGGCTCTACTCATTTTCTTCTTCTCGGGAGGGGTCGGGTATCCCGGAAAATCCGGCGAGTGTTACGGCGACCGGAAGGGGGATAACGTTCGCACCCCCCGCGGGATGAGATTCGTTTCATCTGTTCGGCGATAGTGTGAGGGTTGCGCTTTTGGTAGGTGGGATCGTCGGCGGTTTAATGCCCTTTGCGATTCTCACAACGAAACGTCCGTGGAATAAAATTGCTCACCTTTCCTCAAATGGAAGCCACATTTACTCGGAGTACCTTCGACAGACATGCGAAAAGCACCGAAGCGTGAGAAGAGAGCCGGGAGAGCTGAATAAAGGGTAAGAGAGACTCGAGACTCTCGAGTCGAGAGCAGAGATCTCCGGCTACCTCCTCGCGCTGCAAGGCACGAGATTAACCCTTGAATGATATGACAGTCAAGACACAATACGCGAGGGAAAATAAATAGAGAATTGAAACTCCGTACAAACAGAAGATCAGGAGTTTTGGGAGGAATAACTTTTAGAATCGTCCAAGAGGAACTGATTCTCCTAATCGCGAGATATCTTGATGGGTGTGTGCTCTATCTAGCAAGATTAAGAAGAGGATATTTACATACAATCTGAAATCACATAAAGATAAAAATATTCCTCCCGTGGCAAAAAAATGTTTATAAGAAAAAAAATCGATGTTTATAAAATATTCCTACAAAAATCAATATTTTATGTTTTTTCTATATAAAAAAAAATAGGAGTGCGCGTGTATTTCATCAATTAATCAATTCGTTGATCGTTATTATCAAGACTGTATAATTAAGCGAATAAATCTGTTTCTGTATTATTTCGGTAAGAAATCGTACCAAGTACAATTAGGATTGTTTGTGTTGTAGGCGATCATCGAGGGTAGAATCTGCGCCGAGGAAAAAATCGAAAAAACACTTACCTCGCGTGACTACACGATTCTGCGGTGGCCCTTGCGGAAGTTGCCGGAGGTAGATAGTAGGGAATAATTTGCGTATCCGGCTAATCAAGTAAACGCAAAATCGACGAGTTTGAGTATTAACGTGCGGATTGTCTCGTTCATTGTCGCGCGTATAAAAAAAATATATATGTATATGTATATAATTAACTTATTAAAAGTGTTTGTGAAACCATGTCGCAAAAAAAACAATTTTTTTACCGTAAAAGATAAAGATGAAACAAAAATTAATCGATACTCGTTTCCGTTGAAATATCAACGTGCGGATACTTCATGATACTCAATGATTTCAGTCAATACTTTTGCAAATTGTCGCGCAATTCGATAATTACGCAAGTAAATTCAATTAACAAAGCGGTTGATGAAGGACGCGATAAGTACGATGGAAATTTAATTTCTCACGCGATAACATTGTGGAATTAATGAATGTGCATGTCTGATCGAAAACCACGAGCCTCGCGAAATTGCTGTTACATATGACGCAATCTTTGCAGTGTTATGAATTCAGGAAGTCGGCGCAGAGCGTTAGAAATACAAGGAAATGATCAGATTTAATTTCCATTGTAATTTCTAAATTATTCCTGAATAGAAAAAGACGGCTGACAATATGATAGTGTCTGACGTAATTAAAATTTACCTAAAATTTCTATTAAACTTGATGTATGTTGAATAAAATTAAATTCAGATTGCATAAATTATAATACTTAAAATACATCGTGAATTTAACGGTATAGTCAAAGATCTAACAAACGAATCTTCGCGAGTTGGAGAGGCTGACAATAAAAATCGACAAGTTTAAAATTTTTATCGCTAAACTCTTTTGATAGCTGTAAAAAATGCGTCGTAAAGCCTAGACCGAAGCGATCGTAAAGCGATATCTATTAGAAAATCAGAAAGTCAGATCAAGACACAACTTCATCAAGTTTCTCTAATACGCATATGATTTTACTAAGCGATAAAATAAATATAGATATACTCATGCGAGACACAAACGAGGTCGAAGGTACTCCGGCTAGATGGCACAAAGCAGAAGAAAAACCAGCACCAAACAGAAAGGATACTAGCAGGCCCTACCTTAGAACGTAGTTGACGCACACGATTGAGATCGGCTTCTGCTGCTTGGAGCAGTGGATCAGAGTGGCCTGGGTAACGACCCAGGCATAGCCGCCTCTCTTGCCGAGGAATCTGTACGCCACGGTCTCGCACTGGCCCTTGCTCAGCACTGAAACAGTACAACGATGTTGATGAGAGAGCGATCCTCCAAGGACTCAGGACACGCGCGTGCATCCGCGTGGCTTTATAGCGCGGCGGCGCGCCGTGCCGTGTTTCGGCTGACGAAAGATACGGCATGGGATTGCAACTTTATCCCATCGATCGGCGTGTGGTAACTGAATCAATTCGCAAATTGGCCGAAATGTACCGAAAGGAAGAAAAATATATTGTATCTTTGGTGCAGCAGCTTGCTGCTTCAACAAAACTCGGAATTTTTATCAAGATTTTCTAACAAAATAATTATACTCGCAATGCTTGGTTCTTAATTAGATGTCAAAGAGGAAAAAAATGAAATTTTGAAAATCTAAGAAAACGTTTAGAAATATTTTATTCAAATTTGGTGCGCGTATATGTGATATTAAGAACCACTGTCCAGTAAGAACCATTTTCCAATACCGATAAAGTTTTTAATCTACCAGGGGTGTAAATGACTAATGGTACCCCACTGTTTTTTTTCAAGTTTAATGTTTCTTTTAAATCCACAACTAAATCTCGGTAAAAACTGACTCTGTCTTTCTCTGATGCGGTTAGCCGTTTTTCAAATTAAAGTAAACGACTGAATTTAACTGAAATTAAAAGTGCAAATAGCTTAACTATGGTATCCAAAAATGTTTTCAACGATACTGGAAAGTGGTTCTTAATATCACATATACGCACAACAAATCTGAATAAAAATCTCTAAGCGTTTTCTTAGATTTTCGAAATTTTCATTCTTTTCCCTCAAATTTGACATCCTGTACTTTAAGAGCAAAACACTTCAGGATGTACATGTTCATAGGACATTTTCTTCATAAAACAAGTCAAGGAATATCCCCTTACATTTTTTGTACTTAAAAATCACACTGCATTTTTATCGATGCAATGTGTGTGGTCAAATACTAACTCGATGAATGAACATGAAACTAGACGATTATATTAACATATACACATAATCTAAGAAAACTTAAACTTTGTCGAGACGAGCTATACAGTCTCCCTCGCAATCCTGCGAGATTGATGAACACGAAAAGGATATCAAATATTTTATTGCGGCTTCGGGTTCCCTCGTAAGATTACGTCGCAAATTCTAGCGCCCCGGGCTAGCTCTCTTCCAGAAGCGTATTATCTCGCTCGCAGAAATGTATCTCCCTGCGTTCCCGTAAACCGCGACCAGGGTGGGATTAGTACGGAGCTGATTCGGCCGGAAAGCCGAGGAGGATAGTTGGCGATGAAAGAGGGATGGATCCATGACGTTGCGGATTGCTCGAACACGCGTAGCTCTAAAATGGACCAGCTAAATCGTCCCTTACGATCGTGCACCAGTTAGTAACGAGATAGATATCCTGTAACTACTTGATACGCACGTATATGACCTCTATGTAAAAGACTAAAGATGACCTCTATGTAGTTAGCCCCCTTTATTTAAAAAATTAAGATTTTTTTAGAGTTCTACACAGATTTACAATAATTCCAGAATTCTTGATAGTTTTACTCTCTAAAATTTGTGGAGTGAAAATACTGCCATGGAGTGAAATGTTTACTCCATTGGAGTTAATATTCACTCTGTTAGAGGAAATATTCACGCCAATAGGGTGAACATTTCACTCCATGGCAGTATTTTCGCTCCACAAATTTTAGAGAGTAAGACATAGTTCTGACCACTAAAGGCTTGAAAATGAATTTCAAAAATATAGGGGCTAACTTCACGTAGCCCCCATTAAAGAAAAAAAATGTTTATTGGAGTTCTGGATAGATTCCACAGTTTTAGAGATCTTGATACATTTTACAAATAGTTTCGTTTCAGAAAGTAAAACAAGTCAAAGTTAAAACGGAAATCTCAACAGAACTGCCGGGAGCCTATATTTTTCTCTTTGCATCTTATATTAATTATGAAATTGACATCTTTAATCGGCCGTAAATCTTTCCTTTACAATCCCACAGATTTTCGATAGAACTCCGCAGGGACTATCCAGAACTCTCAATAGAATCTCCAGAACTCTTACAAATTTTTTCGTATCTTATAACAAGATAGTGTTAAGGTGAACAATTTTTTATCGACTCTAAAGTCTATGATAGACGGAATACAACTTGACAGCTGCAACACTTTGAAGTTACAATACGTGCTCGAGCGCACAAAATCTCAGACCTGTTTTTTTTGTAAACTACAATCGCGTATTATTTAAAAAACTATTATAGCCTCGACATTTTTGTATTAGAATTTTGGTCTTGAAATTTTCTAAAGAATCTGTGATTAAAAAGATATCCGGTGGTTTCAGTACACCCTGTATATAATATATGTATATTCTGTTGTAAGTACAGCGATGGCGAATCTGTTAATTTTTACTGGCGAAATTTTGGTTATTTAAGAACAATTTGTCACCATTTGATGTCCAGAGTGACTTAATATTCGCATATCTTATTGTTACCGACTAAGCGTCAAGTAAAGTATCTATTAAAAGAGATTCCTGTTGCATCGAATGTTTGCAACGCTGCTATTTTTAGTAAGTACATAATTCAATCGCGATATTCGTTACATCATTGCGAATAACTCTTTCCCGGTTGCATCTCAATGTGTAAAACCAGCCAAACGATAAATATCTTTCGACGTTTTTTACGGCCTTGCACTTTGTCGTCGAGTCTCACTTTTCATTATCTACCTGCAGTTTTATGAGTCAATTACCGAATATCGACGCGATAAAGTACATCACGTGTACGCTCGTAAATACCGATGGGAGCCGCAGCAATTGCATAACTGGCCGATAACGTTAGTCTGCGGTCCCTGGAAGCCGTAAAAAAGGTCTTCGCCGGGTGTAGCGCCGCTACCGATAAGAGATACGATCGTCCTTGGAACCTTTTTCCCTCCGGCCGTGTCATTCACCCAGGTCGACCCACTCCGTAAGCCGCTTCTCGTCCTCTCCCACCCCGCACTGTCAATCCGCTACCTCCCGATGTACGCTTTTTATATACCTCGTTCATTTTGATGGCTATCGCGTTTCGCATTCGTGTTACTCGCGTACAGCGTAATATCTTGAAAACGATCGTCAGACAAAATAGCAACCCTTACATGAATTGCCATTTAACAACCATCTGCTTTTACGCCTCGGAGTACACGTGTAACTCGCACGTAATAGAATTCTTACGGTACAAGAACGACTCTCTCTCGGAAATTTTTGGCTCCGCTCAGTTGGATGTCAAAGTCGGGTGATTAAAAATGCCACACGATTATCACGGGGAGATATGTGTACCATAATGAGAAAATAAAAAGGGGTTTACGTCATAGTACAGACGTGTGAATAATAAGTCAGACTGATGACAGAAAACGAGAGAAAACGAAGGGACGAAAACTCCTATTATGTTTTTTCTTTTATTCATCTTTAATGTATCTATAGTCTAAAATATGTTTTTGGTTTTAATCCCTCTGCAAACAATCTGCATTTATTATCATTCTTATACATCTACAAACTTTTATACGTATTTCATATTATTTTATTACCTAATTTATGAATATTATTTGTTCATAAATTAGGTAATGAAATGATATAAAATACGTGTAAAAGTAAGACATGTATCCACCCATGAATAATCATATGAATTCCAAAATCAGGAATAAATGTATGTAATACTAGATATCGTTGTATCTCTTTTCTTTTACAGGAATTAATTTCCAATGCAAATCTGAAAATATCATATAATGCGAACTTTCTATCATTATCAGTATCACGAGACACGGTAGTGTCTCGCGCCAAGTATAAGCGACTAAGTATAAGCGACAAGCCTAACCACGCGCGCGACACCGCCGTGTAAGTTTACGCGAGTTATCCTTTACACGAAGAATCAATTAATTTTCGCAATTAATTAACAATAAACGATCCTAACAAATTTCATAGAGATCGACTTTCATAAGTTAAAGAAACGACGTAATCTTTACGCATATATATTAAAGATACAAAAATTGGATGTTAATGTAATTTTTGGGGAGTTGTATTAGGTTTATTCGAATTAGGAAGTTTTACTAAATAAATATAAAATTAATTAGAAAAAAATAAAGAATACTTACGGCATTTGAAACACTTGTCCAATGCCAGATTATCGAGTGCGTGATAAAACTCGAAGACCGACTGGCCCACCAGCTCTTCGCTGCTCCAGCCCAGGTATTCGGCCAATCTGAGACGAGACAGAAAATATTCTCAATGACGTAACGCAAAACAATATTCAATAAGACATTCAGTTGTTTTAACAACACTACGTGTATTTATAAAAGCAGCGCGTCACAAAGAAATCACACTCGATTCTCGTGTACGATAAAGTATGGCGCAATTTATCAAATAACGATAAGAACGATAAAGCATTCCGCCAATTATGCAAGTCAACGATGACGAGAACGATTTAAACTATATCGATTTAAAATAACGCGCAGTAAGTAAGACCAAATTAATTCGCAGGTTTGTGTATCAACTGGCAAGGATTCCACACTGAAGTGTCGCAAAACGAGAGAATGATGAAAACTAAGTTAGTGGTTGCAACACTTACTTCTCGTCGGCATAGGTGAATTTCATGCTGAGACTGTGCTTCGACAAAAAGGTATGGCGACCCAAAGGTATCTCAATGTTACTAGGGTGAGGTATGGGGCTGCCCACGAGTACTAGAGAAGCACCTGTGTCTGGTACCGAATCCTCATCCTCCTTTCGTTGCTCTTTACTATCAACCTCCATGGAGTTCGCGTTTGAGTCGTGAATGTTTGTCAGTCTGCCGGTGCAGTGAATTACCTGCGAGCATTTCCAATCACGGGCATATTATTCATTTAATTCGGTTGAAAAAAGTTCCATTGGAAGGTATTCTTTAAAAAAGTGATAAAATGAAATAGTGCGAAGATTTTACTATTTCGCAAACTCTGCTATTTGAGGAGCATTTATTTCATTTTTGTGCATGCGCGCGCGCGAGTGTATGTGTTTAGATTTAATATTTATAAGAAATATAAAGTCATTATATGTAGTAAATTATTCATAATATGGTAGAACCTCGTTAATTTAAATATCTACAACTCTGTAACTTAGAGATTTAATCTGTTCCCTTCGGTTGCGAGACAAAAACCCCCATAACTCGAATAAAAACCTAATATATTTTTAAAAATAGATATACATTTTGTTTTTATTATGATTCTCTCTCTCTCTCAGATTTATTTAACGTTTCGTGCAATGCATATTAATCTTAGAACAAGTAAAGGAATTTCCACATTTTAATGTACCTTGTAAGAAGCACTCTTTAGATTAACCTTCCTGCCTTTGCTGGTCAGGGTGCATTTGAGTCGCAAGAAGAAGCTGCAGGCACGTTTCTCATTGGTATCCGTCGACTTTGAGGAGAGGCACTCGCGCAATTCATCATGGTCACAGGGATGACTGTATTCATATATACTTTGTCCCATCATGTCCATCTATGCAAAGCATAGAGATCTGTCGTTTAGTCTTCCGAATTCCAACAAAAACGCAGCGAATCACCGTAATCATGAACTTGCACTCTCTTGTGGACTTGTAGAGTAAAAATAAAGTAGGTAAAGTAGGTAAAAATAAATCCCACGAGTTCCTATGAAATTTTTATATATTATTGTTCACAACTTAATAAGTTGAAATAATTATTTTTATATTTAGTAAAGATCTTTAAAACAACGTGACAAGTTTCTTAATACCAAGTGAATGAGCCAAGAACTAACCACCTTTGACCCTTCTAATCTACAAAACTTTTAAGTCGGTACGTTTTTTTAATTTCATAATTATTTTTAGATACTCCACATCTTTTTTTTTTAAAAAGTATTCTTGTTCCATTTCATAAAAGCTAACGATTTTCGAGAAAAGCTTATTTAAGTGATATAAAATAAATTTTTATTCACTTCTACTTTGTTTCAAATTCATCTAATAACATCATATTGAACAGTAATATAAAAGTTATTTAAGAATAATATTTCAGAAATTTTAACTTTAAAGCCAAACATCTCGGTAGAGAAGCGTTATAAAAAAAAATAGTATAGGAACTTGTGGGGTTATTTTTACCTACTCTACAAGTCCACGAGAGATTGCCAGCCTTTACAGGAACACTCTGTAGATTTATGTATTACATTTAAGATCTCTATAAATTTGAATCAATCAAAATTCCACCAAGTGCGTGTTGCAAAATTACTTAACAAAAATTACTTAAAGCGCAAGATAAAATTATTTAAAATATAAAAATTATCTCAATTGTTATGTATCATTTATATCACCACTTAGTTTATTTCTCATGAGTTATAGTAATGTTTGTAAAAGCTTATTCGAGACGTACTTGTGACACTCCGAGATAATCTTTGACGTTCTCTGAGAGGTAGACCATACTGCCGTCACTGGAGAGAACTAACATAAAGCCGTTGAGAGCTTTTGGAAATAGTTCATCCAATTTTGTGGACGATTCGGACTTTGTCAGCGAAACTGGAACTTGCGTTAAAAGAGACGAAAAAGTGAGCATGACGCTGTCGATTATAAATTCCAAAATTATTCGAGCATTTGCAAAATACAATATTAAAATCCTAAAAATATTAACTCTGAAAAACTCCCCGTTGAATAACGCAGTGAATAATGACTGGAGCGAGATGTGACACAGGAATTTTCGTTTCAGAATTTTATCCTCTTTTATACCCTCAAAGGTCAATTATGAGTTTTGCAACGCCCTGTATATTTGCAACAGATATATTTCTATATTTCTCGTTGAACAGATCGTGTCTTGTATCTTTGCTACAATAGAAACAGACATTCGGATACTTTCGTAGATACTCACTGGAATCCACGACGGCCCGGACTTTGAGGTAGGCGATCGCCAATCTCATTACGCTGGCCTTATCTAAGAGCGCGGCTTGTTCCGGCGCGACCGGAAGCGCGGCTGCGAGTTCGGTAAAGATATCGGTCTCCCTGCTGCGTCTACAGCGCGCAGCATCGCGGGACCTCTCCTTTCTCTTCTCGTTACTCCTGCAACAGCACGAAAATTCCTTTTGTTTATAGGCTGCACAATAAATTAGTCCGCACAACATTACTTCTATTGCGAAATAGAAATATTTTATGAGTAATGACACGCGTATTATGAACTCAGAAATATAACAATAAACTGCAAACTGTATTGGGGAAAATATTTTTAACACTCTTTGCCGGAAAGCGAACTTCCAAAAATTTCGAAACGGTAATTGACAAAAAAAAATGGTAGAAAATGAATAATTTCACGTAATACTCAACGAAAAATTGATTTAGTTTCGAAATATTATATACGGATCCAATACATTTAGGCTCTCAAAATATAAAAATAAGTGGAGGGTAGGAAAGGCCAATGCCAGCCGTACGCAGTTAATAAGACGTAGTATTTTAAAAGTCTTTAAAATACTTATTTAATAATAAAATAATTCAATTTCCCATGACTATTTTGTAGTACCAAAATGTAAGTTTTTTTATACAACGTTTATACAATATTAACCCTTTCGTTCTTGGACATACATGTCCCATTTCTTCAAAAATTTATAACTTCTACAAAAGTAAAAATAACGATTTCTTTCTGGGTTCATTTTGAAAAGATCAATAAGGATTATATGGAAAAAATCGCTACTCGATTTCAAAATGGTGGATCTAATATGGCCGACCAAAAAGCCAAATTTTATTAGATTTGAGTAAAATTCATTTTCCAGAGGTTTCTCGAGTTACTGATTACGCGCGTGCGAATCTAAAATAGTGATTTTCCAAAAATCCCCGGAATACGAGTTTCATTCAAATCGAAGAAAATTTTATATTCTGATCCGCCATATTGGATCCACCATTTGGAATTTTTATCAATCGATATCACATTTATCATCACAGTTATAATCAGCGATCTCGAAACTGTTTGAGCAGATTAATCAAAACTACAATAAAATTAAGCACATCATAATCGCTATACTAGATCCGCTATTTTCAAATTCTAACTGCAGATTCGTACTCGGCATCCTGAAAAACCTATAACTACCAAAAGTGATGAATGGTCCAGTAGAAAAATGTGTCCCTGAATGAAAGAGTTAAACAATGCGGAAAAGGAAAACTTTTCAATGGAATAACCAACGGGAAAGGAGTTTAGACCATTACAGCAGTGCAAAGAGCACTTTTCAAAAGCTCTGCCATCAACAGTCGAAAACACACGTTTTGTGCATTTAAAGCTAATACGTATATATAGATGCTTTTTTTGCGCGTTTTTCATAGAATGAATCATGCGTGAACGAGAGCTCTCCTGACTATTTTCTACTAGACTTTTTTCCGCAAACAGACGTCCTGAAGTACCTCGTGAGCGATAAGCGCGAAGTATCACGTCCGGTGCACTATCACGCACAAATAGTCTCATTGCCCGATTCTAGAAGGTCGCTGTCGCTTGGCTCGATATTATGCCACATTGGTTACGTCAATCGTGAATCGTAATGCCGTGTGCTGCTTGATCTCGGAACAAGGTTGCGTTCGATTACCAAGCGCAAATATGCACGCATAATTATTCACATTCGACAAAAATAACATTTGAATAGCAGTTCGGTAAAAAAAAATCAGGACTATTACAGTCATAGACATAGTAAATATAGACTGAGCGTCCCATTGAATAAACTGAAGCTTGTGAAGAGAGAGAGAGAGAGAGAGAGATAAGATTTAAGAAGACTTTCTTTCTCTGTCTTACACCTTCGTAAACGAAAAGAATCGTGCCTCCTTTGTCTCGATGGTGAGACAGAGAGAGAAAGTCTTCTTAAATCTTCTCTGTCTCTCTCGTCACAAGCTTCAGCTTATTCAATGGGACGCCCAGTCTGTATTTACTATGTCTATGATTACAATTTAATGTATTATACTCCAAATTTTGCGAAATCTTGTCGATTCCGCCTTTGACTAAAAAAAAAACATGGTTCTAGCGGCGTAACGTTACAGTAACAATAACAATCATAGATTTCATTACACAATTTCTAAAAAAAAATACTTTCTCCTGAAATATTTGAGATAGAAAGTTTTAGACGCAAGAGGGCAAAGGAGCGGAAGAGATTGTCGTCGTGAAAAGTGCCGAACGCCTCAGCATTAGCGCGAGAGCATTCGATGTTGCTGTTTTCGCTGCAGTATGCCCAGTCACCAGCGCATCGGAAGGTGCATCTTTTTCGGTCGTCAATCGCGAGGGAAAACGTCGACGTTATCGCGAGGCGAAGCGTTATCATCGCGGCGGGCCGACCTTCGAACGATACTTCTTTCGAAATCGATCCTACGATCTCGTCACGTTTTCTGTCCCTCGCCGCCCTCCTACCGCTCGCGGACTTAAGCCAGTCAAAGTCAAACTGATCGGCCGACGGAACGTTCTCGCGGGAAAGCGATACGATCGAGTCATTTTCTTTCTTCGGCGTGTAAGATTGATATAAAATGTTCCGCAGTATTGCGCAAGCATATAGGTGACATACAAACCTCTTTAATTGAAATGGGAAAAACCTTCTCGGAGACACATAACTTGTTTAAATTGTTTGAGAAAATTTATACATGTAGTTTAGGGAACCCAAGTTTTGTTAAAAGCTATTGAATATTGGACAAAGTAATTCCAATTAAATTAGGCTACAAATTAGATAAAATTGAATTAAATTACAATAATAAAATATATAAATTAAATTCTCAACAATATAAATACAAGAATAACGAATGGGCAATGGCAGTATAATTGTTATTGATACGCGAGTTAGATAATCAATTCTGACAATTATATCATAATTCACAAACAATTGATAATAACAATAATGGATGTTTCGACTTCAATTTGAGTTATTTTCAGCGCAATAAATGCCCGTCCTCACGATTTCAGTAAGATTAAAGCCAACGGCACACGATACTATTTTTCCTACTGGATTGCTTACGAGAGCCAATCAGGATTTAGCCTGGAGTCACCTGATCGAAAACTCTGCATCCTGCATCTCTCGTAAGCAATGCAGTAGCAAAAATAGTATAGTGTGCCGTTGGCTTTACTTGAATTAAATTGGATAAGATTGAATTAAAATTGAAAGATTTAGGTGAATTTTAGGAAAATGGATTTCTCCTGAGAAGAGTTGCTAGAAAACTTGTATAGAATTGATACATCGCTTGTGACGGTCGCGTTGTGCGTTCAACGTATCGAAGAGCAGCAAACGGATACGGGGAAAACAAAGGGACATCACGATAAGCCTCGACTTACAAGTAATGCTCGAGGAGCTGTTCGTCCTCCATGTAGCCGTAATGCCAGTTATCATTATCGTTGTAACCATTCTCGTATATACACGGCGGCAAGGCGGGCGCGCCGTAAGCGTACGAGGTGTCGTAAAGGGGGCAGCGATCGCTCGCCGGGCACTGCAGCCACCGTTCCTCGCTGCAAAAATTGAACAGTTCCGGGCAATCGTTGCAGAACCAATTGCCCGGCCCCGGATCGCTCCGTCCCGCCAGATCGTGTCGGTCTGGCTCGCGCGGCTGCTCCTCGCACAGTCTCATGCCGCAAAATCGCGGATCGCCGAGTCTCGGGTCGCATAATCGCGGGCCGTCGTACGACGGGTCGCGGGGCCGTAGGTTGCCGTACCCCAGATCGCAATAGCCCAGAGTACTGGGACCCATGTCGCAAGTTCGCAGATGGCCGGACGCTAGGTCGCAAGAGGGTAGATCACGAAAGTCTAGGTCGCGACGATACTCCCGGGGTTGGTCCGTCCTCGCGGGCTGTCCGTATCGCGATCTCCTCGAGTGGATCGCGCGATTACCCGTCGTGAGCGGCTTGCAGACGTCCGTCGGCAGGTCGAAGTACATCGCGAGGTCCTCGACGTCAACCGGGCCCACCTGGCAGGTTCTCGAGGTTGCTGCCGTGCTCGCCGCGCGTGTCCCCGGCTGCGGTTCGGCCGCGTGGCCGTTGTCGTTGCGGAACCACGATGCTTCCGGACCGTCGCAATTGACGCCCGTCGGGGCGACATTGCACGTCGTCGCTGGTGCATCACTGCACGCCACGTTGCGACTCATCCCAGGCGCATACGGAAATCTCATCGCGGAGCAAGATGTCGTCCCGATATCGCAAGCTCGTGATCTAGTATTATCGCCAGCGTGTGACGTAATGGTGGAAGAGGGTGCGGCAATAGTGCCGGGTAAGACGTGGACGTTGCTAAACGCGGTCGCTGGACCGTAAGGCGGCGGCAGCGGTGGCTTCAGCAATTCGCGTGATGGGAAATCGATCTCGTTTCCTCTCGCCATGTGACGTCCATCGACACCGGCGTAACCCGACGCCTTGCTGGTCCAGTCGTCGCGGAGATCGGAGCAACGACCCCGCTGCTGACGACCGTCACCGAGAAGGACGTTTCCACCCTCTCTCCCTTCGTCCACCTCGTGCAACCGCGCGTTCATTGTTCCCCCTCGAGCTTCGATCCACGTTACCACTTCTTAATCTCGCAGTTGTTCTCTCTGCTTTTAAAATTTTCTACCTCTCTTTTCTTTACCCTCTTCAATTCTCCTTACCGTTTCTTCCCCACTTCTTGGAACTAATCACACTTTATCTCGATTCAAACGCGATCAGCAGAAATTTCACGTTTCGATCGCAACAAGAGATCTTTCACCTACCAAGTTTTTCCTGTTCTTTTCCTTTTCCTTTTCATTCCTTGTTTACTATCTCCTTTACTCCGCTAAAAACTGATTCCACTCGCGATCAGACCACGTGTGGCACAACCGCCGACAATTTCACGCTTTAATTATGCTAATTTCACTGTTGCTTTCATCTGTTCACTCCTGCGTTTTTCTTTCTCCACCTCTTGTCTTCATTTAAAAATTATGGAATTTACGTCTCTAAATTTTATTCCGTCTATTCTCCTTCTTCTTAATTAATATATTTTTCTTCCTTTCTTCGGTAAAAGAACTCAAAATATTATACTATCCTTACTATTCATTAAGTAATCATTGTTAATATACGCAAAAATAAATTTCCAGCACGTTAATGCGATTAATTCCCGGTCGTTTTCTACTCGCTCGAAATTTCATTTTTCTTTTCTATCTCCCACGTTCACATTTTTAATTTTTTGTCGCCAAGAGCTTATCTCGGTCATGTCTGGTCCACGTGACCGATGTCCGATCGGGAATTTCCTAACGCGAGGAAAGAAAAGGCAGGTACGTAAAAAAAGACCTAGTTAATTAATATCTCAATTCCTATTTATAAATGAAACCGCGTTCGTCTGTCTACGCTGTTCCTCTTTTCCGATCTTCCGTTTCTTTCAGAATTTATTCACCGCTCATCCTTTTTCTACAAAGATTCACCTCTCTTTACGCCCGGTACACGAATCTCAAGTTCATCTCACGACGACTCCAATCGTCCTCGTTGAAAAACGAAACTCACCCCCTCAATTCCGATTGCCGCTCTCTTACCTCAATCCTTTGCTCCCCTTTATCCGTCACACACACGCGCCCGCGCGCGCACACACAACACATACACGCACGCGTACGCACATACAATCCAGTTGTATTCTCCCCGTATTTTATCCACCATTTTCAACGACACTTTTCTCACCATTCCCTCACTTTTATATTCCTCGTCTATTCTTTCCGCTCTTCGTCCATTTCTGTTCTGCCCCCCCCCCCCCGGGACCAATGGTAGCCGTAACAATTTCTCTTATTATCTTTTATCGGCTTATCGTTCCCAATTGGTGCACGCTCTCTTGTTCTTTATCTTAGCGGAGCTAAATCCGAAATAGAATGAGTCAGCGGAAATGTTAACGTTGCCGGGAATGTTAATGTTGCCGGTTCTCAACCCCCTCGTCGTACGGAATCGTCATCCTCGTCTTTCCGCATGCTGCCTTCGGCGCGACTTTTGATCCACCTTCACGGCTCGCGTGATACTAAAGCTCAGTAGCAAAGCGATACTATTTCTGCTGGACGTTCCGAATGATCGTTATCTCGCACATCGATAACGATACTCTATCATCGACACCGCGGGCGACACAACAAATTCACCGAGCACATTTTTACCGTCTCGGATATTTCTATTTATTCGCCGCGGCTCAATGACGTTCTGGATCTCTGCCATTCTGCAAATTCTCGGCGTAACTTTTATTATGATGCAAATAGCATCAAACGCCACCGATACGTAGCGTAAAAATATTTTTGCAGAATTATTTACGCGACTCGCGACACAAAGGAAACGAATGACGGCTGCTAAATTCGCTAGAAAATAAATAACGACACGATCGGTAAACGGACGGTAAAATTCGCGGAATGTATGGATAAGGATCTGCGTATCACGTGGAGATAGAAGGGAACACGGTGAAAAACACTGTAGTTAGCATACTTTTGCATTAAGTAGCACGTACGCAGCTCGCGTTTTCAAGATTTCGCGATTGAAACAAAATCAGGAGTAAATCGAGCTAAGAATAACTACCTTATCCGACATTATTTCGCCGCCATGTATTACGTATTTTCAGAAAATTGGCCCCACAAAAAGGATTTCTGATAACCAGACAAAAACTACTCGTGACATACTTAAACTTGTCGCAATCTCATGTAATAAAAAAAAAAACTAAAACGATATTTAAATTAAATCAATCATTCTTATTCTCCTTTCTTGAATTAAATAAGACTGACTTGCTGTATTGACATAAGGTACACATATAAATTTAAGATTACATATTCTTGCGTTTAGAATAAATCTTCAACATGTTATAACTCACACGCCAACGTCATTTTATTCTAGATTTACGAATTACTCATTTAAGATTAGAATATCCCTCTTTCTCGCAATAATAAATGTGATTGTATTGGCCGCAATATCGATTCTATTTTATGATAGATCAAAGTGTAATAGGATTGGGTCCGGAAATCGTTTCCGTAAATATGAATATCTAAAGAAAGCACCTCGGAAATCTTTTCGGGACACTCCAGTTACCCTTTTCAAGCACAATACGCTCGAGAAATCAAATCTCGAACTTATGGATATTCTCCAATAAATAACGTTGATGCTGCGAGAGAGTTTATCATATACTTTGCGTTTATCTTTTCAAGATAGTGCGGTAAATAGAGCATTCTCTCTCTTTAATCTTCGCGCGTCTAATAACTCCGGTAATTTGAATGCCTGGTGATCGGCCATAATCGCGAGCGTTCCTATCGCGTAAGATAAGGCGATCCCCGACGAGCATCGCGCGCCTCAAGAGAACAAGAGGGACTACTGTAAAACTGTTGCGTCACGGATCATCCGCTAAACATTTATCCGGCGTTTTTCCTGCGACCGTGCAACCTGCGCGGATGCAGCGCAAACCCGACGGATATGTAATCCTGACGCAATCCTCGAACCGGTCGCGTAATCTTCGCAGCGCAATCACGCAAATCCGGACGTACCGTCGAGACGAAAACGCGGAAATTATGCCTTTTGTCGATACGTTCTCCTATGTATATTTAATTCGCTTGTACTTTAATTTACTTACTAGATAACATCAAGAATTATTTGACGCCAGCAGATGAATAATCATGATTAAGCAGTTTAACGACCATGACTGGCGATGTGTTTTTAACACAGAAAATTTATTGCGAAAGATATTACCTCAGCCAGGATTTGAACCTGGACCTCCCTTCACTCTAGGCGAGCGTCTCAACCAATTCGATCACCGAGGCATATTATGCACTGAAAAAATTTCTGGTTGAATATGGACGAATCAGATAATTCCTTTAGGATTTACCAGAATTTCTGTAGGATTACAGGAATTCTGATAAATCCTAAAGGAATTCTGGTAAATCCTAAAGGAATTATCTGATTCGTCCATATTCAACCAGAAATTTTTTTCAGTGTGTAATCAGCGACCCCAAAAACCCTTGTATACAAAGTTTCACAAAAACCGGTTCAACAGAAAAACGTATGCTTCAAAGGGTTAACACGATAACTTCTTATTTTTATGTTTACTTTTATGTATCATGTTGGATTATTTTTTATTGTATTATTGTCTCACTAATATCAACGTGAAATTTAAACTTACTGAAGAATGCTTAAGTCTTATTATTTAATTGTGCAATTGAACGCGAGTAAATTATTAGAGAATAAAGAGCAAAATTCACAACTTCTTAGTGCCCATATAATTCTGCCTCTTTAATTTATTCCGCGATTGTTCGCCGCGCCGATCGACCACCTCGCTATTTACTTACGACGAATCTCTTGACGTAGTTACACCTTCTTACTCCACTTGGTCCGACACATAACGTCTAAATTATAAATATCATCGCATAAGCGATGACTAATACTTCCGGATGTGACATAGGTACGATATGCATACAATACTTCGCGCTGATTTGGGTAGGAAGTAGGTATTCGAACACTTACGTACGAACACTAAGTACAAAGTACGTTTGCATAGAAAACGATGCGGTTTCCTCGAAATCTTTAAGAGAGTAACATACGATTTTTTTTTCATGATTAACCCTCAATCGCGAATTCAATGACACGGTGTATATTTTCAGTTGTATCAAGACATCGCGTCTTCTTGGGTTACAGAAAGCGATACATTGTATTAAAAGAATCATACACGGAATCTACAAAACGCGAAATCAAAGATACGATACATTTTATTTAGATGACGATGTAATTCCGTTGAACTTCATTAACAAATTAATGATTAGAAT